GGTCTGCCTTGGATTTGTATTGACATCATTCTATCATTTTTAAGATTATATCCCATTACAGCTTTTCCCACTCTTTTGTTGACTATGAGGGCTACTCCATTCCTTCTACTGGCTGCTTGCCCACAGTAGTAGATATGGTAGTCATCTGAATTGAATTCGCCCATTCCTGTCCATTTTAGTTCACTGACGCCCAGGATGTCAATATTCTTGCCATCTCCTGTTTGACCACCTCCAGCTTCCCAAGGTTCATAGATCTTACATTCCAGGTTCCTATGCAGTATTTTTCTTTGCAGCATCGGACTTTCCTTTCACTTCCAGGCACGTCCACAGCTGAGCGTCCTTTCGGCTTTGGCCCAACCACTTCATTAGCTCTGGAGCTACTTGTACTTGTCCTCCGCTCTTCCTCAGTAGTATGTTGGATGCCTTCCGACCTGAGGGTCCCATCTTCCAGCGTCATTTCTTTTAGCCTTTTGTTTCTGATCATGGGGTTTTCTTGGCAAAGATACTGGAGTGGCTTGCCAGTTCCTGCTCCAGGTGGATTGTGTTTAGTCGGAACTCGACTATGACCTGTCCGTCTTGGGTGTCCCTGCACGGCATAGCCCATAGTTTCTCTGAATTACTCAAGCCCCTTCGCCACGACAAGGCAGCAATCCATGAAGGGGAGGGCAGCTGGTAGTTAACAACAACTGGAGGGACATGTATTGGCCACTCTCATTTAAGAGCAAAACATTGTTATATATTGATGAAGAGTCGGACACGGACACGACTAAACGACGACTGAAAAGCTGCAATGGTTACTTTGTTAATGGAAGAAGAATGGGTCTAATTTAAAAAATATTTATTTTTAAATTAGAAGTCTCTATATCTTCTGGTGCCCAAATTTCTCTCTCTCTCTCTCTCTCTCTCTCTCTCTCACACACACACACACACACACACAAATAAATAAATATGTTAAAATATATTATTTTCACTTGGGTTTGGTGGCTAGCTGTCCACTCTGTAAAACTAACAATCTTTTTTGCTTTCCAGAACAATGCTTCTCTTGTGCAAAGCTGCATTGATTTGTTAAAGAACAACTGAAGAATCTTAATCTGACATGTGAAGGCAGGGGAAAGTACTCTGCAACATATTCAACAATGTTATAAAACTCATTTCTAGCTTGATTTCCTTAAAATAATTTGTTTGGCTGGATACTTAAGCAGGCACTAATGACATAAATATCAGATATAAATATTATGCTACATATCGATATGCTTGAAATGTGACTAGCATTGTGTGAATTCTCTCAGGTGAACAAATAATTAGATGTATTTATAAACTCTTGTGGCAACTGGCTTCTGGGAAAACTAACAATGAAATTGAGTGTGTGTAGCAGAACATTGGAAAAGCACTATCTGTCATTGCATACTGTAGATATACCATGATTTCCAACTTCTCATGGTATATATGTAATGACTACAGCAAACATTTCTACTATTTTCTAAGAAACTCCTTTGGCATTCCATTTCATAGACTTCTATTGCAATGTATTTTGAATTATTGTATTTTCTTGAACAATACATAATAAAGACCTTTAATCATGCTTGTGATTTGTTTTACATAGCTTTTAATTGATCCAGAGTCATCCTCATTCTTCCTTCAGATATCCATATGTGGCTGTTAACTGCTAGAATATGGAAATTAACAATGCATTAACAATGTATACTTAGAGAGGCTGGGGAACCTGCACAGCAACTGAGGTATGGCTTAGAAACCCTTTATTTAGCGTGTCATCAGGTACACACTGGCAAAACCCACCACTCAAGTTATCCTACCAATAGAGAGCAAAATTCAGTTAGGTTAATAGATCTAATGGAAGTAGGTAGTAGTTCTCAAATGCTTATATCATAATAAAGGTGTTTTGTTGCAAAGATTAATGTGATTATCATTCTAAAATTTAGTAAGGTTCATCTTCAGAAGTTACAATTCAAATGTAATATTGTGCTACTGGCAAAAGAAATGGGCTAAATGAAAATACTCCCATTGACAGTGACGAACTCGACTCTTCGTTCTCAGCCCTACTGTATCTCTTGTCCACCCTGCACAAACATTTTTTGGGATCTCACTACTTTTACTTAGGACTCCTGACACTATGTCCCAGAAAGTTTCAGTTATGTAATAGATGCAGCTATTAGCACCTGCTACTGTTTTCTTCCTCTTTTTTTCTTTTTGTGATGTAAACGCTTTTTATATTTTTAGCACATAGTACGAGTGAGAAATGGTGGTTGTGGGTTTTTCGGGCTCTTTGGCCGTGTTCTGAAGGTTGTTCTTCCTAACGTTTCGCCAGTCTCTGTGGCCGGCATCTTCAGAGGACAGCACTCTGCTCTGATGCGTGTGATGTCTAGTTTGGGTTTCTGTTGGCTTGTTTGGCATTTGTTGAATTTCTGTTTTTGTCTGGCTGTGTGATTTATCATTTCTTTTTCTGTCTTTTTGTAAGAGAGGGTATCAATCTTGTCCCAATCTTGACTTCTCATTTTTTGGCTGATAGTGATGTGTAGGCCTAGTAGTTCTTAATTTAGTAAGGTTCATCTTCAGAAGTTACAATTCAAATGTAATATTGTGCTACTGGCAAAAGAAATGGGCTAAATGAAAATACTCCCGTTGACAGTGATGAACTCGATTCTTCGTTCTCAGCCCTACTGTATCTCTTGTCCACCCTGCACAAACATTTTTTGGGATCTCACTACTTTTACTTAGGACTCCTGACACTATGTCCCAGAAAGTTTCAGTTATGTAATAGATGCAGCTATTAGCACCTGCTACTGTTTTCTTCCTCTTTTTTTCTTTTTGTGATGTAAACGCTTTTTATATTTTTAGCACATAGTACGAGTGAGAAATGGTGGTTGTGGGTTTTTCGGGCTCTTTGGCCATATTCTGAAGGTTGTTCTTGCTAATGTTTTGCCAGTCTCTGTGGCCGGCATCTTCAGAGGACACAACAACCATTAGATCCCGGCCATGAAAGCCTTTGCGAATAAAAGTGAGAAAGTTAATGTTCATTGTCCATACAATAAGTATGGCAGAGAGACTGAATTTTCCTGCTAACATTAGTCCTGGTTGAACTAGTTATGTGGGCTCTCAAGCACTGGATTCTCCTTGATCATTTTTAACACCCAGCCCATTCATAATGTGTAAATCATATTTTGAGACAAATCTCAAGATTAAAAGAAAAAATTAACCTAACTTTGGGCTGTCTATGTCCATTTCTGATCATGGGAATGTAAAGATCCAACTACAGTGGTGCTTCGCATAACGAGCGACCTGTTTAACGACGAATCTGCATAGTGATGCGGATTTTGCGATCGCAAAAGCGATCACATTGCAATGTTTAAATAGGGAAAACATCACATTGCGATGATCGGTAAGCGTTTTGCTTACCGATCTTCGCATTGTGATGTTTTAAAACAGCTGATGGCGGTTCCAAAATGGCTGCCGGGTCACCAAAATGGCCACCTGCAGCGTTTTCACACTGATTCCTCAGTTACCGAGGCTGCGAAAATGGCGGCTGGATGGAGGATTTCCGCATAGCGGTGACTTTTTGCCCCATAGGAACGCATTAAACAGGATTTAATGTGTTCCTATGGGGTTTTTCGTTCCGTATAGTGACGTTTCCGGATAGCGACGATTTATCCAGAACGGATTATCATCACTATGCGGGGCACCACTAAATTTAATTAATGTCTTCCCATTAAAGTTGCCAGTGATAATAGGGAAAGTGTGGATATTTTTGGACATTATAGATAGTCACAATTGGCTTTATGCTAATTTGACATCCTCCCTGTGGGCCACTGGGGCAAAAGAAACACTGAAACATTGCAGTCGTTCAATCAGCCAGGGATTCTGAGTGACATCTCCATCTTCAGTTATAATCTGTTGGAAACAGGTACCAGGACTCAAAATACAAAGTAGGCCTTTTCGTACAAAACTGGATTCTCTGTTGTTAAATCTCGATGGACGTACATTCTATTTCATACCTTTTCCTTCCAAATGCTTGAATAAAAATTTAAAAATCATTCTATAAGAGCTTTTAGTGCTACCTGAATTTTAAAATTTTTAACAATTTTAATATGAACCAGAACCTTCGTTTTATCCTTTGCTTTTTTCCTAATCAGGCTTGTTATATACAGTATTTAACTCTCTTCTGCTATGGGTTTTATGCTCTTTCCCAGTTAAATTATCTTCAACAAGAAGTTTGCCTGCTGCTCTAATATAAAAACCAAACTTGGGTTTTAGTTCAATATCCCTTTCTCTAGTCTCCCTCATTTAATTTAGATAACACAAGGCCTTTTAGAGGGGTCAAACTCTCCTCACACTCAGATAGGAACTTCTTATTTTGGGATAGATCATCTGACCAACTAATAAACTCCTAATTAGCTTGTGTTTATTATTCAGTAAATCATTACTAGACATAGCTCAGAGACCTTTCCATTACCAAGAACTGGGTCAACAATAGATGGGTTACAAGGGAGCTAGATCACACTTCTTGCCTTTAAGACAACACATTACTATTGTTTAGGCTTCCTTGTAGGGTTTCAGGCTGGTAGATCTGCTATCTAAACATTGAGGGAACATACTCCTCAGATGCCAGTGGAGGTCACTTCCACCATCCTCTTGTTTTCCGCAGTCTTAAATCACCTGGTGTTAATGGATAAGTTTGTTGGTTTTCTAAATTCCTCTTTGTTGGTGGTGTTCATTTCTCTCAGCTAAGACAGTAATGTTGAGTTGAGTATTAACCTTGACACATAATGTGACATCTTTTGTCATGGGGACCAAACCCAATTGTTTATATCCAGTCCATTATCCTATGTATATGTATCATACATCCACTAATCGTTTTGGAATTACACATTTCATAACTTCATTTCTAACCTTGACATGATTATTTACACTCAGATGTCCAACATGTGATCCGAAAGTCACATGTCCTCCCTGCACATTTTGATGTAAGAAAAGTAGAAGAGGTACAGTACCCAGACACTCCAGGAATTGTGATTCTCCTTTAAAATAAGGCACACTTTGCAGTTTGTTTTACTCACAAAAAAGTATTTTAATGGGAATAAAAGTGAACTTTCAGACATGACCAGGTTTGCTTTTTATGGATGGTGCAACCTATGGTGGATCCTATGGACCAAAAATTAGCTCCAGACACTCTGAGCTTGTCCATTCCAGGTTCACGTGGATGTTATGAGTCTGAACTTATTCACAGGAGGCTTCCTGTTGTAAATTTCATATTGAAAGTAAAATGAAAATTCATGAACACCCTAGAAATAATTAAGTTAAAGTATAAGTCCAATCTGCATTGTTTTGTCATTGGCACCTCACTGCAAACACAATTGTTACTGCTGCACACTTGAGGTTACACACTATCACCAGTTACCTTCAGACAGGACTGCAGACATATGTGGATGATGGCTGCCCTTAATCTAACCAAAACAGAATCCACAATGAGATGAACAAGAAAGGAACAGGTGAGCAAACATTCTTTCTATAATATCTTAGTTCTGACTGCCACTGTAATACAAGCATTACCTATCTCTTTATCTCAAACAAGCAGTGAAGTGCCTTGGCTTCCCCTCCTCTGTCATTTTATCCCGTATTGCCTTACTATTATGGTTTCCATTGGGTATTTATGTCTGTATAAGTGGAACACCCTATTAGTCGATATGACACTGTTTGGATTCATCACTGCATACCAACTGGAACACAAGCTGTTACTGTATCTCCAGTCTTGGCATGTCTCCATCGGCCTCCTGTTAGTTTCTGAGCCCAATTCAAGATGCTGGTCATCACCGATAAAATCCTTAACAATTTAGAAACTCGATACCTATCAGAACATCTTCCCTAAAAACAGCTGTTTGTCCCACCCATTCTTCACAGTCCCCGATGTTAAAATGGTAATACCTAGGGAGGTCCAAAGAGTGAATATCAGGAGCCGGGCTGTTTTGATTGTGGCCTCATACCTCTAGAAAAATTTCCAACAGAGATTTGCTCATAACAAAGAGACATCCAGAACTTGCTTCACAAAATAGTTAGATAACTCCCAAGAAGATTTTAAAAATGACTGTGGTTATTCACAGTTCCTCCTAAGACTTTTCAATATTGTTCAAGAATTCCATATCAATGGAAAGAAGTAAAAAGGTAAAGAGATAAACATAAGTGTTGGAGATCAGGAGTTGAATAAAATGGAAGATTTGAATAATGATGTGGTTGACAACGAAATACATGACGGGTAAATATGGAGAGAAGGGGAAGAAAAGAAGGGAGAGAGGAAACATATTCTATATGTCCTTCCCCAGCAGTTATTAATTGGACATAAGCAAATAAACAGCTCCAATTCAAAGCAACAAGAGTACTATGGCTAATAATAAATAGCAAGTAACTACAGTATAGCTACAGTGGTGCCTCGCAAGCCAAAAATAATTCATTCTGCGAGTTCTGTTGTCTTGTGAAATTTTCATCTTGTGAGGCGGATTTTCCCATAGGAATGCACTGAAATTTAATTAATGCGCTCCTATGAGCCAAAAAAACTCTGAAAAAGTCACTTACCAGGTAGGTAGCTGGGGAAGCACCATAGGAGAACTGGCGGGGGTCCCCTGCAACCGCGATTGCCGCTTTCAGAGGTCCCCCGGCAGTCCTCTGATGGTGCTGGGCAAGCCTCTGAAGACTTCCCCAGCACCATTTTTTTTAATTTCCTGCCTTTCCCCCTGCCTTTTTCCGTTTGGAGGCTTGCCTCCGATGGTGCTCGGCAAGCCTCTGAACGGAAAAAGACGGGAAAAGGGCGGGAAATCCAAAAATGGTGTTGGGGAAGTCTTCAGAGGCTTCCGAAGCCGCCGACTGAGGTTGCGGGGGACCCCCGCAAGTCCTCCAATGGTGCTAGGCAAGCCTCCAAAGGACTTCCCCAGCACCATCGGAGGATTGCCGGGGGACCTCTGAAAGTGGCGATCGCAGTTGTGGGGGACCCCCGCCAGTCCTCCGATGGCCCATAGGAACACATTAATTAAATGAAGTAAGTACAGAACATTAGGATTTTCAGAATAGCACAGCCCTTCCACAGCAGCCTTGCGGGGCATCTAAAACTCTCAAGACACTTTCATTTTTCGTTACCTGAGGCATTCGTCTTGCAAGATACCACTGTACTAAGGCCACCTAACCAGCCAAAACTAGACTATATATATAATTCAGTATGAAGTAAGTACAGAACATTACAACTTTCAGAATAGCACAGCCCTTCCACAGCAGAGTTGCAATATCATGGTTTGAGCAATATGGATTTTTTCCTTTCTTTATACCGTCAGGAGTGCTGTGATGTTCTGAAGCCTGACAAACATACAAGAGACTCCGGTTCCAAGTTGTATTCATGGGCTCTACTTCCCTAGTGCAGTATGGAAATAGCATGATTTTACACCCATTGGATTCCTATCACAATTTACCTTCCTCCCTTATCTTTTTGAACACCTCCTCTGTAACTGGGAGGCACAGTAGTTTCACTGCTAAGGCTCTTAGAAGTCCTGGATTTATGGGTTGTAGGCCAGGGAAACAAGGTGCTCTTTCAGTCCCAAAGATATAGTCCTCAGGGAGATCCAAAATCTGTTTCAACAAACAGTGTAGTAAGAAAGACAATTGCATCTTTATTTTTTTCCTTCCAGCTTCCTACTATACACATGTTGTTTTAGCAGAATCTCACCTCAAGTTTGACAACTTAAGATACAAGAAAACACTGTCTGCTTGTAAAGCTTTCGTTTCTTCCTGGCCTCTACATCGGATGTCTTTTGCTTGGGTTCTTCCTGGCAAAGCTGGATATGAACAAATCCCAGGATGCCCGAGATCGTCATGATGTTTGTCAACACCCCAGAAAGGCGAGGAGAGAAATTTCCAACTCTAAAATAGTAATTAATTAAGTGTCTTTATTATCATTTACCAACTTCTTTGTTCAGCTTAAACAATTTGTTTTGTTGTCTGGATTTAAGTTCTCTCCTTATGTGGTTGCCTACCATGTTCTAGGCTTTTGTCAGACACAGGCCGCAGGTAGGCCTCTAGTTATAAACTGTTGGTTAAAGTCCTAAGTAAGATCTCTAGTTGTAAGCATGGTTTCAAGTTGTAAAATTATCAAATGCACCAGAAACTATAGAGAAAAGCAATCTGCATATCCTTAGATTACAGTAGTTTTCTCTCTTCTACCACAAAAAAACCCCTGCTAACCAAATTCTTATGGATAAGGTCTGAAGCTTACCTTCACAAATCTGTTTCTTGATAGGAAGTCTGTACCTGAAGATAATTCGATACTGCCTCTTCAACTGTAACCTCCTTCCATATTAAAAATAAATTAAATGAGAATAGTAGTCTGCCATATTACTGCCTGTATCAACACATTGCTTCCATTTCTTCTAAGGAAAGGGAATTCTTTCCAATGGCCATGTTACTTTCTCTCTAAGTAAAATTACAGACACACACAGAGAGAGATTGTAGATATTTAGCAAAATCTGAATTTTGCACCTTTATGCTGAGATGTTCCAGGAAACTTGACTATTTTGACCATCTTATTTGGAATGGCTCTGAATTCTTAGCCCTCAAAAACACCTAGCAAAATGAGCACAACTAAACTATTACACCAATCCAATGGTAAATCCTCTCTTAAGGAAATTTGATGAACCTTACTGTTGTTATTAATCTCGTTTTTTTAACAGCTGAATGCTTCATTCATTTCCTTGGCAGTGATGGGGAGCAAGGCCAAAACATTGCATAATTGATTTTAGTGACTCTTTTGTGAAATTATACGCTTTTTCCTGATGCTATTTTAATTGCGCATTTCAGTCATTCTTTTTGTAAGCATGCCTGAAACCTTTTGTTTAAAATGGTACAAAAGCTTGTTTTATAAATAAATACTTAATTTAGATGTTTGAGCTTTAGGCAGTTAACAGTGAAAGAAGCAATTATAATAAATACATATTTTATTTACACGTTGTTATAGTTGCAAACAGTTACAAGAAAACTGGATTATATAACTGCAATTTATCAAGAACTGAAGAAAAAAGAATAAAACATTATTCACGTCAGTTCACTGTTCACATCAACAGTTCACATCAACAGAGTCTGAAAGCTAGGGATGTGGCTTCCCTAGATAATATGTTTTCTAAAAATACAATCCTACACATGTCTACTAAGAAGGAATTCATATAAAATTCAGTGGGGACTACTTCCAGGTACAGTAAATGGATTTAAGATTGCAGCCTAAGCATCCTGTGGGTTTCTATATTATGAAAGTTTTAATGTCTCTGAGTATTAAGCACTGTTAAAAATATATATAAATTTATAGAAAATGTGTTTATGGGCCACTCTTCATGGCCATGCCTTAAATATGCTCACCTTCTGTAAGACAATATTACACTACTGGGGTTACTCATTATTCTATATCATAATTATAAACATGAGTGTTCATAGACATAAGGGGCACTTCTCCAATCCTAAATTTCTTCGCTATTTTAGTGCATACAGGGAATGTATTGTAACAACATGCACAAGAGTGCAGCCATGGTCTTGTGCTGGCAAAACATGTCAACATTCTAAAAAATCAAGGAAATTTTTAAAATGGGGGGCAGCCCAAAAAAACCCGTCTTCAGATCAGCACCAAATTTGACACACTTGTAGCAGACAGTCTGCTTCTCCACTGTGCCAGATTTGGGGAGGTTTGAGCAAATGGTTTTTCAGCTATGTTTATTTATAAGTGAAATTGTTCACTCTCATCTAGAGATAGGCAACACTAAATGTTTCCAGATTTTAAAAAGCTCATATAAATTAAAAAGACCAATCTTGCTTATTTTCAAACAGAATAGTTGTCCCCACCTGCTTTTTTAATTTTTTTAAAGAATCCAGGCTGTAGAGGCTGAAATATTGGTCCTCAAAAAAGGGAGAAACAGTTATTTTTTGCCACAGTGAGCATGTGTGGAACAAGCTTCCCAGCAAGAGCTTTGCAAAGTAGATACAGTACACTATTTCTGATTTGTGGGTGGGAAGGGAGATATTTGGAGAGCTTAGGATAATTAAAGGTCACAGAAACAGAGTAAAAAGACAGATTTTCTTTAAAGAGGGGGAAAAACAGGTGTGCTTTACAGAAACTATTTACTTATTTCTTTTATTTATTTAAATATATTTTTACCCCCTTTTCTCTTTGAAAAGGGCTCAAGGTAGCTTACATAATTAAAAAGACAATATTTAAAAGAAAAAACAGTAAGTAAGTAATGGAGTGACAGTCCTCCAGAAAAAGGAACATTTTGCCATGTATCTCCAGGGAATTAGCATATGGTTTTGTAAGGCATATTCCAAGTATTCCTGTATCACAAAAGAACAGAGCAGTTGTGTTTGTCCCAGCCATGAATGCTTTCAGTAAATATTTTCTAATTATTTCTGAGACCAGGCTTCTGACACAAGCTTTCAAAGGGGAAATCAGCTCCAGGTCTGGGGCAATTTGAACCTTTCAACATGTCAATCAAGGCTCAATAGAATTTTGTAACTGTTTTGCAGCCAAACAGAAATTGCAAGGGGATTCTGTGCCTGCTTGCAAACATTAAATATATAATTTTTAAAAAAACATAGAACAAATATTCAGAATCTCACTCATTTAAGCTGTGAAAAGAAAGGTTACTTATCTGTAACCACGGTTCTTCAAGTGGACCTCTGTGAATTCACACATGTGGGTTACAATCTGCGCTGGCGCAGGGCTTCCCGGAATATTCCACAGCTTTTTCTGCAAAAGTAACAATATTAACAGTTGCCCCATTGCACATGCTTCGCCCGCCTCAGCCCGAGTTCCATTTTGTCTGCCACTAGCAAAGCAAAGGCTCTGTAAGGTAAAATAAGTGATGGATAGTGGGGAGGCTGGGTGTGTATGTGTGAATTCACAGAGGTCCACTTGAAGAACCATGGTTACAGGTAAGTAATCTTTCTTTCTTCTTCATGGCCTCTGTGAATGCACACATGTGGGTGACTAGCAAGCTTCACTTACTGGAAGGCGGGCCATCACTCCAGCATCGAGGTCAAAACTGCTCTCCCAAATCGTGCTTCCTTTTTGGCTCTGAGGTCCAGCCTATAGTGTGACACAAACATAGAGGTATTGGACCAAGTAGCTGCCTTGCAAATGTTCAGAACATCCACTCCTTGCAGCAATGCAGTGGACGTCGCCACGGCCCTGGTGGAATGGGGTCTCAGGTGTTCTGGAGGATCTTTGCCAGATAGCTCATAAGATAGCTTAATGGCAGAGACAACCCATCGAGAAATGGTCGAAGAGGAAGCTGGTGAACCTTTGCGTGGACCAAAGAAACAAAGGAACAACTTGGGAGAAGCATGGAAGTCCTTAGTTCTGTGGGTATAGTATGCCAAGGCACGTCACACATCTAAGGACTGGAGAGACTTTTCTACATCTGAAGACGGGTCCGGAAACAAAGTAGGTCATATTAATGGCTGATTAAGATGAAAACTGGAGACAACTTTAGGTAAGAAAGTGACGTCAGGATAAAGAACTACTTTATCCTTGTAGAACTGCAGATAAGGAGGATCCGCTTTCAGGGCAGCAAGTTCGCTAGCCCTTCTAGCAGAGGTTATGGCCACCAAAAACAATGTCTTAAAAGACAGGAGTTTGATGTCCGACGTAGCAATGGGCTTGAAAGGATGATGTGTGAGAGCATGGAGAACCAGCTGTAAAGACCATTGAGGTACCGGTGGCCTAACAGGCGGACGAATGTTGTGCAAGCCCTTCATAAAGGATTTAACTGCAGGATGGGAGAACAAACGGGCAGAGTCAGAATCACGGGGCTGATATGAGACCATCGCTGAGATATACACCTTTAAGGTGGATGAAGACAATCCAAAGTCAAACAGATACCACAATTAGAGAAGAAGGGTGTCCAACGAAACCGGTACAGGCTGAATACCCTTAGACTGGGCAAATTTCTGAAAACTGTTCCACTTATAGGCATAGAGAAGCTTTGTGGTATTGGAGGAAACAGATAGAGAAGTCCCGCTGGCCACTCGACCATGAATGCATCCCCCAGCAATGATGGGTCCCTGCCTGCGCGAGAGCAAAACACTGCACATTTCGTGTTCAGATGAGTCACAAACATATCCACCTCGGGGTGACCCCAGCGTGCACAGATCATCCTGAAAGTGGACGCATCTAGTTCCCATTTGTGCATCTGACCTCTCATACGGCTCAGTTTGTCTGCCACTTCATTCTCTGATGTGGACACATGGATGGCCACAGGGAACACATGAGTGTCGTAACACCACTCCCAGAGGTGGACTGTCAGATAGAAGAGCGACATGGAGTGGGTGCCTCCCTGCTTTTTGATGTAATACATGGTTGTGGAGTTGTTGGTCACCACTTGGACCCCATGACCACATATCAGAGGTTAGGAAAGCACGAAATGCTTTTTATTACAGCCAGTATCTCCAGATGGTCTATATGAAGTACACTTTCTCGCTTGGACCAAAGAGCGTGTACTTGGTGAGTGCCGCAGTGAGCTCCCCACCCCGTGGGGCTGGCATCTGTGGTGACTTGAACTGAAAGGTGCAATGGGCAAAAGGGGCGACCCATGGGAAGATGGGGAAGTGTGGTCCACCACTGCAGCTGCTCTGCTAGTTGCGGGGTGACACAAAGGTGATTTCTTGGGCTGACTATCATAGGGTCGAATTGGGACAGGTACCACGCCTGTAACAACTTTATCTTTAGTCTTGCATGATGAAGAGCCACCGTTGTTGAGGCCATGAGACCTAGAAGGTGTTGTGAGTGATGAGCCATGATCTTGGAGAAGGGACGGAAAGGGCGGACCGCATGGTATATCTTTTGAATCCGCTCCAGCGGCAGAAAAATGCGGACCCGAACAGAGTCCAAGCGTGCTCCTATGTAGTCGACTATCTGAGAGGAGACTAGATGGGATTTTTCACAGTTCACCTCAAGACCTTGACCTTGCAAGGTTTGAAGAACCAGCTCCGTGTCTCGAATAGCTTTTTGACAGGAGGCAGCGATAATTAGCCAATCGTTGATGAAAGGAAAAATCATGACATTGTTGAGGCGCAGGTAAGCTGCTACTGGGGTCATACACTTTGTGAACATGCGGGGAGCGGTGGACAGCCTGAAAGGAAGGGTGCAATATTGATAAGCCTTATCTAAGAAGAAAAAACAGAGGTATTTTCGATGCTGTTGGTGAATGGAAATATGGAAATATGCATCTTTTAAGTCTATCACCATAAACCAACAGGTGAATGATGGAGTCCGACGTTACCATGCGAAAACGACGGGTTTGAAGGTAGGAATTCAACTCTTTGAGATCCAAGATTTGTCTGAGACCTCCGTCTTTCTTTGGGATTGCAAAGTAATGGGAATAAAAGCCGTTCCTGATGTTTAGTGGCTGCACTCGTTGAATGGCTTGTTTTCTCAATAAGGACAGGATCTCTTCTCTTAGAACTGGGTTGAAGGAAGTAAACTTTATATCTCCTAGGGGAGGAAGCTCGAAAAATTCTAGCCGATAACTGAAATGAACAATGTTTAACACCCAACGGTCTCGTGTAATCTTTAACCAACTTTGAAGAAAGGGTATCAACTGGGTAGGAAGATCTGTATTGGGAAGAGGCGTAGTGCCCAAGTCAAAGATAGTGCTTTGATTTTTTTGTAGATGGGCGATAAGACTGGCGCCTCTGAGACAATGCTTGAGGTCTGAAGGTAGCTGAGGTTGATTATGCTTGAGCTGGCTTAACTTGGCCCTGTGGTTTGTAAGTACAGTAAGACTGGGAAGATGTCTGCTGGTATTGCTGCTGAGCATATGGTTTACGCCACTGTTGCTTTTGATATTTAGGCTCTTGATAGATGGTACTGTATATGATTTGGCCGTCTTCTTGTGAAGGTCTTCTATGGAATTGTCCATCTTTTGATTAAAGAGGCCTGTAGCATCTGACAGAAGGTCCTCTATATGGGACTTGGCGTCTTCTGTGATGCCCGAAGATCTTAACCAGGCGTGATGTCTTAAGGAGATGGCGGCAATCATAGATTTAGATGCCACATCAGCCGAGTGTCTGGATGCCAGTCTCTGGTGTTTAGCAACCGCGGTGGCTTCCGCATACGTGTTAAGGAGATCGGCCTTCATCTCATCCAGTGCTACTTCAAGAGCAGGGAGGACTCTAGCCCATAGCTGCCTCTGGTAGGCGCCCATGACCGCATGATAATTGGCTACTCATAGCAGAAATGCGACAAAGAAGTACATCTTGCGCCCTAATACATCCAACTTCCTCCCTTCTCTATTAGTTGGGATCACTTTAACTCCGCCACCTGTCTTAGATACGTTAGATTGCACTATGATGGAATTGGGCACTGGATGCTTGAATAGAAATGTGTTATCAACCCCATGAGTATGATAATGATTTTCAATCCATCTAGTAACTTGAGCTGAGATGGACAGAACTGCCCAAGATTCTTTAACCAATTCCATGAGGGCAGGAATGAAGGGAATACTGAGAGCAGAGCTGGGAATCACTACAATCTCTCTATGTGAATGATATTGGATGAGGGCAGGAATGAAGGGAATACTGAGAATGATGTCGACATGGAGAGATATGCCTCTCTTTAGCCCGTCTTTTTGTTGGGATGAAAGCGATATGGCGCCGTCCAATGGAGACTCTAGGTCCTGTGAAAAGTCTTGCAAAGCAGGGGAAGGCAATGACACCAAGGCAGGGGGGGATCTCAGGGTCGATCTTTCTGGGATGTTGCCCTGTCTTTCTTTTCCTTAACTGAGGTCTTTTTTGTTTTCAGAGAGCCCAGAGATGCCGCCTTCGCAGGAGCCTCTGAAGACGAGGTAATAGACTTTTTTGAAGATGAGGTGAGAGATTTCTTTAGTGTTTTCTCTGCCGCTCTGGTCTTTACCATAGGTGGTGAGGGTAAAGAAGTATCTGGGTGGGGGTAGTGGAAGCGGTCAAGGTGGTCTCCATAGCAGAAGGCTTGGAAGCTGAAAGGGTCTTGTCCCAGAGGAACAATTTAAGCCTTTGCTCCCTAGCTTTAAGGGCAGGTTTCATAAGATTTCGACAATGTCTACAGGATTGGGGCTGGTGTCCTTCGCCCAAGCAAAAGAGACAGCGTTCATGGCTTGTCGGAAAAGGGGAGCTTTCGGGTACACGAAACGCACCTTCTAAATGGACCAGATGGGAACATAAATCAGGGAGCCAGAAATTTAAAACAACTCACAAAACTACAGGAAGAAACCGGGAGTCGTGGTCGTAAATCAGTCTGGGTCTAGCCAAAGAAGTTAGAATAATACCGAGCGGTCTAATGAGCCAAGAATGAGGCGAAAGAGTAGTCATGCAAGTCTGTAGCCAGAGTACACAGCAAGAGCAGTCCGTTAGAAAGTGTGAGAAAAACTAAACCAGTCCGAATCAAATACCAGAGAGTCAAACCACAGTCCGTTCGCCAGTAAACCAATTGAGGGGCAACCAGAGAGACAAAAAACAGAAAATCTGTGTCGAAAAGACCAATTTTAAAGACTAAAAACAAAGCTCAAAACCGAGAAGCTCCTTCACCTAAGCGGTAAAAATGGACCTGGGGCTGAGGCGGGCGAAGCATGCGCAATGGGGCAACCGTTGATATTGTTACTTTTGCAGAAAAAGCTCTGGAATATTCTGGGAAGCCCTGCGCCAGTGTAGATTGTAACCCACATGTGTGCATTCACAGAGGCCACGAAGAATTATTATTTTTTTGCTTTGTGGCTTGGGATGGTCTTACTCAACGTCCACAAAGCATTGGTGCCTATATTTTTTCATAATCTCAACCATTCTACCCATTTTGTCACTATATAGTTACTTGATAATTTTAAATACTTTAAATATGTGCCATTAAGTTACTTCTAATGAGTGGTGACTATATGAATTAATGACCTCCAAAATGTAATATCATTAACAGCTATGCTAAGATATTGCAAACCAGCAGCATCTAATTTTAAGTTGTTCCTATTGTCATTCCTTCCTAGCAGTTTTGTATTTTCCAATGCATTCTGCTCAGCCCTTGCAAACTAACAGTTGTGGCTTCCTTTGTTGAGACAATCTGCCTCACGTTAGGTCTTCCTCCTTCCTATCACTCCCCACCCGTCCTTTCCCACCAATATTGTATTTTCTTGTCTGTATTCTCAATCGATGTGCATGGTAGGATAACCTCCCACCCTTTGTGCAGCTCCCAAAAAGTCCTAGACCCCCTTCCAAGCCCCTCTTGCATCTTTTAGGCTATGGGGCAATATTGCCATGTTTTGAGTGGCCCCAGCACTCCTGGAATCCCCATAACCCCAAAATGCTTTCTTAACATTGTGCTTGCTCAACAGAGAGTACAAGGGGACGTTCTCACCTTAAAATAAAGTTAACCTGATTTTTAATTTCACAAGAACCGTTGCAGCAGCTTTTATGGTATATAGCCATAGCATCATTATAAAAAATATACATACTAGGGAGCAATGTCAGCACTTGGGCCTGCTGGGATTGTCCACCCCTGCTTTATAGCCACTTACATAAAAATCAAGCATTCCTCTCCAGCAGCCTTTCTCTCTCATCTTCCTAATGACAGGGGGAAGCATAGCTGTTCTGTGTGTCTTATTTTATTTATTTATTTATTTATTGGACTTATATACCGCCCCATAGCGCTACAAGCACTCTCCGGGCGGTTTACAATTTAATTATACAGGCTACACATTGCCCCCCCAGCAAGCTGGGTACTCATTTTACCGACCTCAGAAGGATGGAAGGCTGAGCCAACCTTGAGCCGGCTAGATGATACCCTAAAAACTGGCAAATCCAATGGTTAATCCCAATTAGAGTAGACAACAATAGTGTGTTTACTCTGGTTGGGAATTACCATTGGGTATAGGTTTCACACACAGAGAATTCTTCCATAATATTTCAATTGTTGTTTTGTTAATTCTATTAATATTTGTATGTACAGTATGTGTACATATCAGTGTAGCATCATTCTTCCTTGTTCTCCTCTCCTACTATTCTAGGAAATGGCTATCAGATCCAAGAAGTTTGAGGAATTTGTGCATGAACCTATGGGAGACAAACCCATTACAGCAGTGAGTGGTATTAATGAGGAGCTGGGAGCAAAACTAGCCGCAAATGGGTTTGACAAGGTAATTTTTATTGCACCAAGGCCCTAATTCTATTTTGCCCAGTACACAGTACTGTACTGTTTGGTTACACTGCAGGGTCGGCTGCTGATTTGGGGGAAGGCAATAGAAGCCCCCTTGTAACAAGGAGCAGCTCAGCCCAATGGTAGCAACCCAGAGAGCACGGTGGTGGTGATTTGTGGCCATGTTCACTACCATCCATTGTCTCTCTTACCATCCTGGATAAACACTTGAGCAATTAAAGGAATTCTTTCCCTACTTGTATGTTAGTTACCCGGTCCTGCACACTTCCCCTGCTGGGACTGTGAAGCTGGCGGGAGGAGGACATAGAGACTTACGGTATGATTAGATAGGCATTTATCCCACTGTTTGGTCTGGGTTGGGGTTAGACTAGTTCACTCCTTTTTCCAGTAACATGACATATGGGCCATTGTGAACCAGCCCACCCTGATTGATGCCTACCTGCACCTTTTGGGGTCCTTGTCAGGGGCTAGTATTTCTTGGTGCAGTAGAGTAATTCCATTTTGGTTCAATACCAGCAGCTATAATCACTGGGATTGAACCAAAGCGGATGTCAGGTTGTCCCTTTGCTGAAGCTGCTTAACAAAATAGGAAGCTACCTGGTTGCTCGCCTACAGATGGGAAGGAAACTGCAAGTTTCCCATTTTAATTCTTGCTAATACATCAGTGAAGCTTTGAAGTAGCCTTTAAAAAGCCCTTTCTAAATATTGCTGATGTACTGTGTCAGTTAGCAATAATTTTAAAAAATGGAAAACATCCTCTTCCACAGGCAAATGGAAGGAAAACTTCCAGTTTCTCAAGATCATTGAATGGCTTGGACAAAGTGCAGAGGAGAAAAGAGGAAGGAGATTTTTGTTGTTGCTGTTGTGGTTTCTTTCCCTTTAACAGGAAACAAGATCTGTTTAGATTGTGCTAAACAGAGTCACTTGAGGTGTGATGTGGTTGATATTTGCAAATGTATGACCCCAAACGACATACCACACCTCAGACTGACTCTGTTTGATACAATCTAGACCAATCCAGGCTGGGGTAATTTGATTGCCTAGTGCACCCTAAATTCAATTAGTGATTAGCACTGAGCCATAGTGCCTCCCATACATTCAAAGGTCATAGGTTCAATCTCTCACTAAATATATCTCAGGAATCGGAAAAGACAGCCCCCTCCTCTCTAATAAAGGAAGATGCCGCCTTTGTTGGAATACAAAAATATTGAGCTAAACAGACAAATCATCAGATGCAGCATAAAACTGTTTAATGCTTCAATGATTTTGCAACTGAGTCCATGTTTGACAGTACCCAAGAAATGACATTCAGCTCCAAGGCATATACTGTATACTGTACTGATCTCATCATTTTAACTGGGGAGAAAACATGCTATTGAATAGGTGGACAGAAGAACCACAGCATGGTCATCGTAGCAGCTAATTTCAATGCTGGAGCATGAATGTTGAATTTAGGGATCATAGTTCAGCATCTAAATCCAAACTATAAATTCACGTATCTTCCAGGTGTTTAATTTTAAAAAATAGTTAAGTAACCAGGCAATTTAGAATTCCAAAAGGCAAAAACAGCACTCTAGGTCCACTTCTCCTGTTTCTGGGGAAATAATCTTGAGTCCACCTTCCCCTTTTCCAGGCGTACATCCTCTTGGGCCAGTTCCTCCTCTTGAAGAAACAATGTGCTGCATTTCAGAACTGGCTGAAGTTGTCCTATGGAGCCAGCAGCCGTCAGGCTGAGCAGTGTGCTTTATGTCTGCTGGAGTGGTGTTATGCATTCTTATAGGGAGCACTTTACTTAAAAGAACGAGAACCATCAGTTCTTTTCTCCACTCCTAGTGCAAAATAAACAGTTTCCTGCAACAGATTCTCATTGTTGTTACTATCAGTGTTTATCCCCCTTGCTACTAAATAGTCTATTTAAAATTATTTATACACTGCTGATCATAAAATATATCAGAGGTTTCTAAATTTAAAATAAACACTTAAATATTAGAAGAGAGGAAAAAAGAAAGTGTAACAGAACAGATACAAAACATACAATATAGTAAGTAAATGTTTATCTTCACTGGTCATCTGTGATAAACACCTCTATATGGAAGGCCAAGATAGCATGAACAGAAATCCCTTTAAAGAGACTCTATGGCATGGAGGGAATCAGTTTATTTTAATGGGAACCTACTTATATGAGGGAAACAAAAACTGATCTTCATCAAAAGGGCCAAATTAAATGAGACAGAAGCTTAGAAATTAGAAAGTGACAAAACATTATTCCATATCCTTTTTCTTTTTTTTTTAAACCTAAGTAGAACCTGTGAGCTTTCCCACGTAGCCTCTTTTCCCTTCAAGGCATTGCCTGTATCTGCTTTGTTTGACCAAGGTGGTACTGTGCTATGCATCGTTTATCCTCAGACCAAGCCCTGTTTGTATAGTCCATCTGTTTGGAAAGAATAGCAGTGAATGATAGAATCCTAGCAAACATAGATTCCTAGTTTAACAGTGTTATTGATCTATACAGTCAGTGACATTGGGTCTTTTCTTGATTTAAGATAACTAGTGCTCTGGACCGTCCCTAGGAAAATGTGTTGTTTCCCAATACACTGGTACAAAGGGTTGTTAAGCTATTTCTGGAATGAAGCAATCCAGCCATAGCCTGTGAAGGGCCAAGGGGCAAAGCATAGTCAAGTTCCAAGGGCAAAAGCAGAGGGGAGAGTGACGCCAACGCAACACACTCTTCAGCAAACTGCATCTCACTCCCCACATGTAAACCCAGGACACGCAGAATCTAATAATGCAACAGCTTGGTGACAGTGGACAGCCTGACAGGCATGAAATCCAGCAAGTAAATTATTTTACTCTGATCTTGTCTGCCTGGGAAGAAGATGAGACGTGAGAGGAAACAAAAGCAGTCCAGTTGGCTGCTCACTCTAAAATCCATGCTGCCTTTTCTTGACTATTAGAATGCATAGAACTAGAAATGCTTGTTAAAAAAATGAAAATACTAATGTATTGCACGGTGAGGTTCAATCAGATATGAACAGAACAGCACAAGGAAAACAAGTGGTGGTCCTTGATGAAAATGCTGGACTGCTTTAAATACTGAGTCCTTTGGGGAAAATGGGGACCATTGTATGCTTGTGCTATTGCTATGATGGAAGGCTGACTTCCTGACCTTCTACCAGCATCTAAGCAGATCCATGGAATATTTATAACCTTCCTTCACCAACCTGGCCCAGGCCTTTTCCAGGTCTTGGAGTTGCTGGGGTCATCATGCATCAGCAGACATGGGTTACAGTCCACAACTCAGATGAGAGTGCCCTCGTATTCCTGGCACAGCCAAACACACTCAAAGGCACTCTGGGGAAATTGTGCCATCATGATATGCCTGTGACAATGGGTTTTACAGTTACCCTTAAGGCAACACAAGAGGCGTATGGTGGTAGTTGAGTCATCACTGAACACTGAGCACCATTTTCACTAAAGGCAGTCAAGGAATCACCCAGGGCCATCATGGTCTCATCTTGAGGGTGGCTCTTAATCCCAAGGTGCTAAGTTCTACCTTTAAGCATGTTTTGAGAAGGGTAGCCGTTTTAATCTGTAGTCTAATGCAGCAAAACCCACAAAGATTCTTGTGATACCTTAAAGAATGGCATGTTTTAAGAAAGATCTGAGAGTCAAATAAACATGTTAGACTGTAAGCGATCCTATTTTGCTGGAGCTGTGTTATCGATGGTTTCTGCTATAAGAGCTGAAGAAATAAATGGAAAGCAGACTACATCCAAGTTGCTGGTGTCAGCATGGTCTCTTTGTCTCTATACTTCTTGAGTAAGTTATTCAGCCAGTGCCATGCCCCATATTCTTCTACTACACCATGAGTCAGTTATTCTATCTTTCCTGTCGTTCCACCCTTTCAAAATTTATTGTCTGACTGATAACCAACAATAAGAATGTTACCAACTCTTTCTGTATATGTTCAGTACTGACCTCTGCGAAAATGTACAAAAAGGCTGCCATTGGATTTATATTAAAAGTAACAGTTACAAGATGGTTAATCCCTTTACTAATTTCAAGTCAAAAATTTGAACCATTGATTTTATAATACCTTTAAGTTTGATTTCATCCCTCTTTCACTCCCCTTTTTATGACTAACAGAATGAAAAAAGTATACTGAATGTAAAGTGATTTATATGTACATATGGATGTTAAATTTGTAATGGGCAACTTAGTTTGATTACTGGTTATCTGTATCTGTACTTAATAAAACATTTTAAATTAAATTTTTTAAAAGGCTAACATGTCTTAGTCTGACCTTGGCATCTGAAGAAGTTGGTTGCACGCCATGAAAACATACGGCAAATAAAAGTCATAGGATTTAAGGAACCACAAGACTTTTTTTGGCATTGTTGCTACAGCAAGCCAGTTGGTTAAGCGGAGGCAATTCGACAGTGAAGATCCAAACGGTCAGCAATCCAACAGGGCACAGCAATAACAATATGAAAATCATCCCATAACAAATACTATACCTTTTAAGGCAGGGGTGGGTGATCTCTGGAGGTCCACAGGCCACATGTTCTCATCCCTAGGACCTGGAAGATCACATGTGCTCATCCTACTTCTACCTGCCAGTTTTTGTTTTCTTGAAAAATTGGCTTTTAATCCTGTAAAATAATTGTGCCCTCCAGTGACAAAACAACAATAATTAAAACATTAATTAAATTTTTGAGGTGTGAAAGCCTATCAAAATATGGCTTGCCTCTCCATTCTCTCCCCCATGGAGAACATTCTGCGAAGAATTTTCAAATATTTTTATATTCCGAGGGTTGAGTGGGCAGTGGTTCTAAGGAACTGCATTTGGGCCTCTGGAGCTTGCATGTAGCACATCAGCCACATGTTTCTCACCTAGTGTAAGGTCTTACACAACGAAGATGCCATGATAGGAATGCATGGCTTGGCAAAGTCCAAACAGATATTGTTCTTGGCATTCTGCTTGGCCAGAACTAGAGCTGACACTGATGCTCACTGAGACCACAAACAAGGCTCAGCTATGATCCATTCATTGCAATATCCTCCTGTGAGAAGAAACCTGTTCTTAACGATCCTCCTTGCTCCTGAGGAAGCCACTATTTCAAAGAAGACTCTCCTTGAACTCAGCACTTCTGATGGTCTTGAGTTGGTCCCTTGCCTTCTTCCATCTTTGCTCTTGAGGGCTGGCAGTGACTCATTCAAGATAAGGAACATCTTTCCTTTGCAGAAGCTGTAGCTCCCTACGGTCTAGCAAAGGTCCTGGAGTGCTCCAAGTTCAGCAGCTCTTGATGAGTCCTCATCATTCCCTGCCCCAGCTGCTCAGCTTTGTCCTCAACGGAGGGCTCCTCAGCTGGGAGCTTGGCAATAGATTCTTTATAACAAGCACAGATGTCCCAAACACTGATATGTGTTAGACTCGGACATAAAGAAGGGATTCCAGAAAATAGTCCAGAAAGTCAACTTCCCAGCAAGCCAAAGAAACCAGATTCCCTAGATAAACACAAATAGATGTGTTACAAACTACCATGAACACAACATTCAGGAACCCATTCCAGGCAAAAAAAAACCAACCACCTCTATTTTAGAAATAGCTGGTATTGCCAAATTCAAAGTACAGTGGTGCCTCGCTTTACGATCGCTGTTTAACAATGAAACCGCATTACGATGAACTTTTTGTGATCGCAAAACGATGTTTCCTATGGGGGAATTTCGCTTTGCGATCGGTTCCCTGCTTCGGGAACTTATTCTTCACAAAACAATGGTTTTCTAACCGCTGATTGGTGGTTTCAAAATGGCCGCTGGGTAAAGAAAATGGCCCCCCAGTTTTCTGGGACGGATTCCTCGCTGCACAGGCAGCGAAAATGGCTGCCCTATGGAGGATCTGTGCTGGACGGTGAGTATCTAGCCCATAGGAATGCATTAAACGGGTTTTAATGCATTTCTATGGGCTTTTTAATTTTGCTTTACGACGTTTTCGTTCTACAGTGATTTCACTGCAACAAATTAACATCGTAATGCGAGGCACTACTGTACACCAAATCTATTAAATTCACCAGGTTTACTGGACTAGATGCAAGTGTTGCAACAAACTAAGACTGTTGTTGTTATTGTTATATGTTGTCAAGCTGCCTTCGACTTATAGTTGTCCTATGAGTGATCCCCAAACCATCCTGGCTTCATCAGCCCTGTTTGGCTCTGTTAAACGTGAGCCTTTGGCCTCCAGAGATAATTCAGGCTTGATTTGCTCTAGGACTTAATTTTTCATCTTTTTGGCAGTCCAGGGTATCTGCAAAACTCTCCTCCAGCACCACATCTCAAATGAGTTGGGCTTCCTCACTGTCCACTTTTCACACCTGTACGTAGTGATTGGGAATACAAGAGTGTGGATTATCTCTGCCTTGGTCTCCTGTGACACATCCTTATATTTGATATTTCAAGTCATTGCTGCTTTCTGCCAGTTAGATGATATCATCTGCATATCAACTTTCTTCCACCAATTTTCACTCAACTTTCATCTGAATCTAATCTGGCTTTCCATGTGATGTTTTGCATATAGATTGAACAGATAAAGGGATAAAATGCGCCCCTGTCTGATATCTTTGCCTACAGCAAACCATTATTTCAATTTTCTGTCCTAGTGGTAGCTTTTTGTCCACAATACCAGATACACATTAAGACAATAAAATGCTGAGGCACACTCATTTCTTTCAGGACAACCCATAGTGTCTCCTGATCCATGGCTTAAATAAACACTTCCATCCAAGAGAGCCTCAGGAAGTTGCTCCACTTCTTCAGTTCTTCATCTGGGTATCTTAGGAGATCTTGTAGTCATTAGTGCACTTAGTTAAACAGGATCATATGTATATTTCCCTTTCCTTGGTTTCAATTTTGGGAAACAGCTATCTTAAGAGAAAAGGCAGAGAAGCCTTAGTGGGTGTCAGCTACTCTCCCAATTAACATTCTCACAAAGTCAAAAGATTGTGCCTCTTTTATGCCATTTTGGGCCAAACTCTGCAAAGGTTGTAGACAGAATGGTGTAGCAGATCAACTACAAAATGGTGAAGATGAGTTCTGGCAACATTCTCTGGGTATGCCATTGTCATGCTTACGTCAAGGAGTCAAACACCAAAAGTCTGAACACAGAAGAGAACTGACCTCCCATGAATCTTTGGTCTTGTTTCAGACATGATGTACCACCAGATGTGCATTTTGCTACCTATAGACCTACATTATGTTCCCATGCACTGTTCTGTGGCAGGACATCATCTGCATTTTAAATAGCACCAAATTGGTACATTTTGCAAGAGATTTAGAGAAGATACACGATTTGTCCCTCTTCCACCCCACCCCTCTTCCTTCTGACAGGGCACCTTTTGGCGCACTTTTCATTAGATCACTCTGGTCTAAGTTTGCCTGACCATGGGGGGAGGGGCTCTGTTCCCTCCGCCCTTGGATCTATGTTTCTGGCACGATCAAGAGATTATTTAAAAAGTTTCGAAAGGTCCTGGAACATTATTCTGACAGCGCACCCAACGCACACCTGGGCTTGTGGCACGTGCGGGCTTTGACACGCTCCAAGGCCGTTCCGGACGTTCGCTACCCGAGTCAGGAGGGGAGACGCGAGAGCCCCTCTTCGGACTCCTCGCGCGGCCCGGGGCGCTGTTGGCTCCGCCCCTTCCCGGCCGACGGAAGAGATCGCGGGCTTCTCAGCAGCCCAGGGTTTTGACAAGAGCCCCTTCACGTGTCTTTCTTCCGTCACACTTTCTGGCTTCTGCTGAATGTGGAACAGTCGTCGTTGCGAGTGCGGGGAGGACACCCGTTCTGGCCAAACACGCGGCGGGGCTCCCGCTCGATTCCGCCTGTACTGTATTTGCGTTTCTCAAGCGCGCCCGAGGCTTCCGGGGAGGTGACCGAAAAGGGAGACACGCGATGCGGGGCGGCGGTCCTGCCCAAGCCCCTCCGGAGGGGAGGGGGCACCGGGCGCTTCCACCGACAGCAGGCGCTCGTCACGGACTCTCGTTCCTAACTTGGCCCAATTCCCCCGCTGAAACCTTCCCGGGCAAGCGCTCGGCGCCGCATCTTGAGGCAGCGGCGCAACTCCACCCGCGCCTCAACCCCTCCGGGGCGTGAACGCCGAGTCCGCTTTTGTCCGCCGGAGTCGCTCCTCACCACAACTCCCAGAATCCGCCCCTGTGGCCCTGGTCCTTCCCCTCCTGCCCTATTGGCCTCCCTCGCATTCCGGCCCGGCTCGCTCTGGCTGCGGCCGCCGCCGCCCCTCCCTTCCCTCCAGCCCAACTTCCGAGCCGTCTGATGGGCTCGCTGGGCCGGTGCCCCTTTTGAGTGGC